ACAGGGTTGGGAGGGGGGCTCTGTTCTGTGATGGTGGGACTCTTCCCCTTTCTCCTCCTTCCAGGGTGAGAGGAACGACTCTGAGGTCCTGGATGGGGATTCTTCTTCCTCCTCCTCCCAGGGTAGGGAGGGGGACTCTTCCTCTTCCTCCCCTTCCCCTACCTGCTGCTGTGCTCTATTCCATGTTGGGGGGGAACTCTTCTGCCTTCTCCTCCTCCCCCAGCGCTGCACAGGTGGTGGGGGGGAGAGAGTGGAGCCTGCCTTATCTCTGCGGCTTGGCTCCCTGAGCCTCCAGCAGGGAAAAGTCCTGCACTGGAGTCGGCTGCTTCCCCCACTCCCTGCTGTGCAGGGCCTGCATTCTACCAGGAGTGGAGGGAGCCCCCCTGCTTCCCTGCAGAGTCCAGTGCCCGGCTTCCCTGCCATGTGTGGGGGGAGCTGCAGGCGTGGTGCGGAGCCATGGGGATAGAAGCAGCTGGGCAGGCTGCACAGGGTTGTGCTCCTCGCCCTCAGCACAGTGCTGGCTGCCTCTATAGAGGCTTCATGCTACACCTGCAGCTCTGCACTCAGAGGGGAAGCCCCACGCTGGACTTTTCAGGAAAGCAGGGGTGGGGCTCCCTCCACTCCTGGCAGAGTGTGGGACCTGCATAGTGGGGTGTGGGGGAGCTGCTGGTTCCAGTGCAGGGCTTCTCCTGCTTCAGGCTCAGGTTTGGGGAGCAGAGCTGTGGGGATAAAGCAGGCTCCACTCCCTCCTCCTGCACATGAACACCCTGACCTCCCCACCTGCTGCTGCTGCCAGGCAGTGGGGGCTGCATGCCATGGGGGGGGGAATGTGTGGGGGGCCCCTATACCCCCCCATGCCCCCACACCCTGCCCAGCTGAGCTCCATGGTCCCGCTGCACTTCTGTGGGGAGGAATGGGAAGGGGAAGAGTTCCACCCCAGCATGGAACAGAGCTTCTCCCTGCCTGGGTGGGTACAGTCAGGGGAAGAGTCCCCTTCTAGGGCTGGGAAGCATGCCATAGAGCCCTGCCTCCTCACCCTGCAGGTGGAGGGGAGGAGGAAGGAGAAGACCCCCTTCCTCCCCGGCCAAACAGGGCTACCCTCCTGGCCCTGTGGTGGTGGGGGAGGGGGAAGAGTTCCCCTCCGGCTGGGCAGCCATTTCTGCCCAGATTGTTCCCAGCTGCCAGGGAGCTTCTGGGGTGGGCCTGCCCGGGCCTGGCCAGGCCCCCCTCCTCAGCTCAGCTTCCCTGTGGAAGGGAGGGCTGCTCTAGCGACCCCGGGCTTCTGGCTTGAGCCACTGCAGGTATGTGCTGAATGTCTATCCACTTGCAAACTGATTCACTCTCTGCAAAGACTGAATCAATTCAGGCTCAGGCTTTTTGAATGTCTGTCCCTAGCCTTAAAGTATAACACATGGCAAAGTTGAGAGAATGAAATTGATAGACTAAGGCTAGAACCTGGGGCCAGTCCCCCATCCCTTCTCTGCCCTGTACTCCCATTCCCTCTCAAGAGTTTCTGAGCTATGGAACGTTCTGCTAAAGGAGAATACGGTTGAAATAGGTCATCAAAACCTGCTTCTAGAAAGGTTGGATAGATCCTCAAAGGAGTTTTAGTTTGCTGCGCTCCAAGTCATTTAAGACGCATTATGCCATTGAATTTCCTACAGCAGCTGGAATTAATGCACAATATGCTGCCGAGGCATGCAAACACTGACACCATTAAAATGGTGCAAAAGCATTTAGCCCACTTTAAAGTGTTGTGCACACACACCTCTTGTTTTGTCTACACACTGCCAAGTCTAGGAGACTAGACTTGCTAGTGATCCATTCTTTAATATTTTCTAAACTTTAGTTACATGTAAATATATAGGGGATTTATCAGTTTACTATGTTCAGTGGATTCCTTTTGACTTGACATACCTAACTGCCACTTTTAGGCCTGTTCTTCTAGCTAATTGAGAAGAGGAAGGGCTGCTGCCTCATTTCTAAAAATGGTAATTGATTTTGAATAGTGACTTTATTATAATATGAATTTCTTCTGAATACCAAAATTTAACTCTACCACTTTTTATTAGGGGTACCATTCAATGGGACTTTGCAATTGACTTTAAAGGGTATAAGGCTAGTCTACAATAGAGCCTGCTCTGGAAATAAATTCCTTTTGAATGTGGTTCAGACAAATGCAGGGATTTAAAATTTCATTGGACCAGCGACAAATTGTAAATCTAATGTCTTGTGAACTACCAGGATGAAAAACGCTTGCACTGTGATTCAGTAACAGAAATCCATATAAAACCTCTTTCAGATAATATTATAACCTCCAAAACTGTTCAGTTCTTGTTTTCTTTTGTGTAAATATCACCAAAAACATCCGGGAATGTCTCCTTGCTAAAAAGGAGGCTTACTCCCAATGGAAAGGAGGGGTCATCACCAAGGAGGACTATTCGGCAGTTGCTCGGGGGTGTAGGGGGGTAGTTAGGAAGGCCAAGGCAGAGATGGAACTGGGACTAGCTTCCCGGATTAAGGACAACAAGAAGTCCTTTTTTAAATACATAGGGAGTAAAAAGAAGGCCCCAGGTAATGTGGGGCCCTTGCAGGACGCAACGGGGAATCTGGTTGTCACACCAGACGACAAAGCCAACATATTTAATGATTTCTTTGCCTCTGTCTTCCTCAGTAAGGACCAGAACTGCCACCTCCCTGCTAGGCCCCCATC